GGCCCAGGAAGATTCTGCAGCCTCTCTTCTCCAGTACAAGTGTCCACATCATCTCCATTAACATGGGAATTTGGAAATGAACAGCCAAATGCTTGCTCCCAGAATGGTCGGATGAAGCCATCTCCCTTCATCAAATGAGGGTTTAATTTATGAAGAAAATTTTGGAATCCTGGAACCTCCTGTGAGTGGGTTGTGAAGGCTAAGGCACCATGGAAGGCTTCTATATCCCAGTCCTTGTGCATGGACACGGCTACAAGGTCCATCTGGGCTACCATAATCCACACTTTACCAAATGATTTCCCATACTCAGCTTCTCCTTCATGCAGCAGACCTCTCAATGTTATCATGGTCAAAGTTTCTCCATAGACAACAATAGTGTTGGCTTTACTTTTTGTAACACCTGCAAATATTTTGTTCCACTTTTCTTGAAAATTTAAGAAGTCACCCAAAAAGGCTTTTGTGGGAATTTTCTCAGTGAAGGCAGCACAGATTCTGTTCTGAGAAAGTATTGGTAGTAGGTTGCTCAAAAATGTTTCTCCAGTTTCCTCATTCATGGTCATTAGACCCACCCAAATCCATTGGAAATGCAGAAGTAGCTGGACAATTCCCTTGTACTGGTGGATTTCATTTGGAACCATCCGATACAAGGACAGTGAATGAGATTGATCCTTCAGCATGGGGACAAAATCACCGTAGGTGAACTAAAAGGGGGGGGGGATTCAGGAAGTTGTTTTAGAAATTGATTTGGAAATCTGTAGGGCTGGGTTGGTGGTGTGCGTGCATGTGTGTATTTATAGATACTGAACATTCTGTTTAAAATGATGTGAGTTGCTTGTGAAGAGTACTCAGAAACTTCACCCAATATAAAATTCTCCTCTGCACCTTAAGTAGCAGATAGAGAGACATGAATATTTAATTAACATTTACAGTATTTTATACTGCTCAAAAGAAATATAAAATAATTTACAGAAGGAAGAATAAAATACACAGCAAGAACGTTTAAAAGCAAAAACCTCTTAACTGATAAAAACTAGCAAGGAGAGAACAGCTGGAGCTGGCTGGGCCAGAAAGGTGATTAATGTCTCCTTCCAATAGGAGTTAGACCCTGCCTCCCCAAGAAAGACAAATAGTTTTGACAACTCAGTGTTTCAAGAGTATGTTATACCTGTGGAAACTTATAGATGTCCAAGATGGCAGCCAAATAGTAAGAGGTTTCAGAACCCAGTCCTCCTATGACTCCTATGAGGTTGTTCTTGACATCACAGTTATAATTAGGGACAAATCTGTACTGTGTGGAGAAAAACTCCATTGCAATGTGGTAGCTCCACTTTTGGCTGAAGTAGGTCTCAGGGATGTGGAATCCAAAGGAAGCATTCGGCAAAATCTTGGGATTTCCATTAATCTCATTTACAGCAAATATCAAGGCCAGGACATGCTGGTAATTCTTTGTCACAACACTGAAAAAAGTTAGATAATAAGTCACCAGGAAATGTAACAAAAATAAAGTTGTTTAGTAGCTGTCCTGCTTCATCAATAGCATGTAAATTAGTTGATAGACTGCTGAGAGCATAGCAAACTTGCAGAACCACATAAAGCTGCAGCGTGTGGAAAGTGACAGTATGTATATATTATTACACCATGATTCTGAGGCAATGTATCTGGCATTGTGGGATTAGAGGATTTAAAATGATTTAAAAGTCATTGTAGAATGATCAAACTACATGTGAGATTGAACGAATCATGTATAGTTGCATGGATTTTTTAAAAACAATTGATAGCAGCTTCTGAATACCCTATGAGTATAAGCCCCTCCAGTGTTTATTGATAAACATTCACATGTGTGCTACTGATTCCATTAAGGCTGCAGTTGACAACCTTTGTCATAATACAGAAAAACAAAAGAACCTTACATGGGAAAACTAGTATCAGGAGTAGGGTATTCAGTGAAGGAAAATGAATCCAAAAACAGTAGCATCAGAGAGGCAGCCCCACCAATTATGAGGTCACCTGACTTATAATACTTATGAGGCGTATAGATGGGGTCATGAACTATGCATCTTGCAGCATGTTCCTGGAACTCACTGTGAGGTATCTGCAACAGCATTAGAAACATCTCCAATAACACTGTCCCAATTATGGTCATTCCCCTCTCAGTGCAGATGCCAGATTTTCCGCCTTCTTTCATAACAACAGGTATGTATAGCAGTCTGTCTTGAAAAGCAGCAGCCTCTGCTGATGCAATATTTGGAGCCTGTATCCTCTATCTACATACATATACCAGAAAACTATATGGAACTGGAGTATGCTGGAGCCTGGGTCCTTAGCTCCAGTTCTGAACAACAAGCAAGGTTTTTAAAAACATAGCTTGGCCTTTGTTGGTGTTTGTTAGGATTCAGATTCTGGAAACCAGGAGGTGGCTTGGTCAAAGGGAGAAAAATATGGCACATATCAAAGGCATTAATGACAATCACAATGTATGCAATTGAGAATGGCAAAAACAGTAATTAGCCTCCCCCAAGGAACTAGGCTCTTGGTGACATTCCGTCTAACATAATTGCTGGAGAAAGAAAACATGTTGGCCAAAACCAGCACAACTTTTTCTGTGTTCCTAAGGGTAGCTGAATTTCTGCTACTTTCCTGACATCATAGCAATGCCATCTGGCAACTTGAAAGGGTCTGCTGAAAACCACTGATGGAGAAAGGGGGTGCGATAGGTGCCAGCCACCCGGGTGTCATCCTTGAGGTGAGGTGACATCGCCTCCACCACCTCCCCGGAGATGCTCGCTGCAGGCGGCACCCCCTGGGATGCTCGCCCCACCCCCCGTGGGTGCCTAGCCCTGCCCCGCAGGTGGCAAGCCCCGTCTCCGGGTGCACAGAATGCGTGCCGCTCCAGGAGCCAGAGCAGCTAGCTCCACCTCTGCTGAAAACAGACCTTTACAGGAGCTGAAAAATGAGTGCTGACAAGCAGCCTTGACTGCACTGATCCCCTCAACTAATGAATATTCCAGGGGAGTGTCTTTAAATGTTTTTATAGGCACAACTCTACTCATTTTAGGACCATCTGCATACAGTTGTCAGACTACTTAGGCAGAATTCCTAACCCCACTTTCCTGAGAGTCAGGTTCTGGATCCAGCTCTGTCATTGCAAGCTCAGGTAGCCTCAGTGACTAGAAGTGCTTTATACCAACTGCAATTGATTTGACAACTACAGTCATTCATGGACCTGGAAAGCCTGGCCGCACTAGTTCATGCTTTTGTTATTTCAAGACTAGATTACTCAATGAATTCTGTGGAACTCTTCCTTTCCACTTGATCAAGGGGTTGAAGTAACTGCAGAATGCTGCAGCACGATTGCTGACTGCAGTTAGGTCTTCTCAGCATACAATTTCTGTGCTCAGAGATCTGCACCGCTTGCCAATTTGCTACCACACCAAGTTCAAGATGTTATGATTAGTATATAAAGCCCTTAACAATTTGAGACCAGTTTACCTATGAGATATATATGCCCATTCAAGCACTTTGATTGGTCAAACTGTTACTGTTACAGGTACCACATAATACCTATTCTGCATGTGTATGAACATGGTCTTTGAGTGTGGCAAGACTATGGAATTCCCTGTGCCAGGCAACTTCATTGTATTCCTTTTGGTGTCTGAATATTTTTGTTTAGACAAGTTGTGACGGAAAAGTTTGTTTTTGCTGGGCAGGTTGGTTCACTGAGTGCTTTCTTTTTCTTTTTTCTCTGCCAACAAATGGTTAACCAACAGCAGCTTCTGATTGGCCAGGGTTCCAGAAGAGAGTGTTGAAAAGGAGAGGAATTTGAGAGGCAGGTATTTTTGGTTGGGAGATAGGTTGGGAGATAGGGAGTGAGAATAGAGAGAGAGAGAGTTGGTTCTGAGTAGAAACATCCACTCTGAGGAATAGATCAAAAGCTAGAGAAAGGAGACTCTGAGCTTAGTGTGAAGGACAGTGTGTGGTGTCCTGTGAGAGTATTAGGCCAGGAGTTAACTGGGAGACTGAGGCTGAGGCAGTGGCAGCAGAAGTAGAAACTGGAAAGATACAGTCTACTTTGGTCTCATTCCAGTCAGGAGGGGGGAGATTCTGCTACGAAAAGAGAAGACTCCCCAAACCACTTAAGAGGGGTGTGGTGATCCCTTGGGTCTGTTACCTGGAGTACCTCAGGAGCAGGGTTGTCAAATGGGTGTGTAACTGAGGGGAAGTACCACCTTGTTTAAGAACCAAAGTATTAAGCAGCAACAGCTGTGAAACAACTGAGAAAGAACTGAAGTGAAATAGCATTATAATCTGAAGTATCCTATGTTTTACCCACTTTGTGCCATAAACTTCCTTTGTTTAATAAAATCCTTATTGATTATTTGATCAAATCCTGCCTGAAACTCCAAATTATTAAGTTTTCCCTCACACAAGTCCCCCACAAGATAATCTGGGGTAGTTTGTAGGAATTCGTGGAATTGGTGTTCTGTGAAGTGGGTGCACTATAAGTGGAGGCAGGTCCAACAGCACCGGGGGGAAAGTGCCATTGCGCTATCACACAAGTCTACACAAATATTTAGAGGATTGATGTGAATTTTATTGTTATTTTAACTTTCCAAAGGTTTTAAATTATTGTTATCAATTCTTGGTATTGATAATTTTATTGTCTTAAGCACTTTGAGGTTGTTTTTACAATCAAATGGTGTATAAATCTTATGAAATAAAGAAATATAGCAAATCTGGATGTGTATTTTGTGTAGGGGGTGATGCAAGAGCTGCACAACAAGCCCCATGATCTCTGAAGGGTAAAGACACAACTTCCTTTAGAATGGCTGCATGTTCAGTCAGTGAAAAAAGAACAGAACAGGCATTAATGGCAAAATTGGGGTGAGATTCATCCAGCCCAACTCTAGTCACAGAAATCTAAGGGTGGTTGTTTGCTTTTCATATCTCTACCATCAACATTTGCAAATAAATTTACATAATAGATGAATAACAATATGATCTTACTTACTTTCTCTATTTCTAATTATCAGTTGCTCCCTGTTGTTCAGCTCAGGCCTCAAAACAATAATATAACATTTGGGGGAAAAGATGCAACCCAGTAACCCAGCACTGGAAGCCAAGATGGAGAAGATCTCCACAGCCACCATGTATTTTCCTTTGGTGCTCAAGTAGGTTGGAACAAAGGACAACCAAACACTGCAAAACACCAACATGCTGAAAGTGATGAACTTGGCTTCATTGAAACTGTCAGGTAGCTTCCTGGCTAGAAAAGCCACTATGAAACTGAGAATGGCCAGGGAACCCATATAGGCTAAGACACAATAAAACATGGCAGCTGATCCCTCCTTACATTCCAGTATGATTTCCACATTCAGTGAGTCCATGTTCCTATCTGGGAATGGTGGGGAAGTACTTAACCAAAAAATACAAATTGCAGCTTGGATAAAGGAGCAGGAAAAGACAATAGAATTTGCCAGGCCTTTCCCAACCCATTTTCTCATGCTAGATCCTGGTTTGGTTGCCATGAATGCCAGAACCACGGTGATGGTCTTTGCCAAGACAGAGGACAAAGCTACAGAGAAGATGATGCCAAAAGTCATTTGTCGGAGGAGGCAAATAATCTTTCCAGGCTGTCCAATGAAGAGAAAAGAGCAAAGGAAACAAAGGAGGAGGGAGATGAGGAGGATGTAGGTCAGAGTCTGATTGTTGGCTTTGACTATGGGAGTGTTATTGTGCTTCATGAATGTTCCAAGTACTATAACTGTGATCAAAGAGAAAAAAATGGCCAAGACAACTAATATGATCCCTAAATTTTCTTTGTAAGACAGGTAACTTAAAACCTTGGGAATACATTGAGTTTGGTAATTGTTGGGATACTTATCTTCTGGGCATTTGACACAGGCGTCCATATCTGAAAAGTACAAAAAAGGACACAAGCAAATTGAATAATTTCCCAAAATAAAGATAAAGAAAAATAACAGTAACAACAGCAACAACCCCCACAACAAAACAAAAACACTACACAATATCACAGCCCAGCCCAAGTGATGGGCCCTGCCCCCCCCATTTAAAAGTAGTCAGCTGGGCATTTCTATGCTTCACTTAGCCATATAGCTTCTGGCAATGCACCTTTGAATGCTGACTTCTTTAATCAAAACATTGGCATTTCCCAAGCAAAGAGCCTGAATCTTTCAAGCAAGGGTGGGAAATAGGATAGTAGTCTAGTCAACAAGGCTATGTTTTGTGGGGGTGAGAGGTGTGGGGTCTGACGCTATGCACAGAATCCACGGTTTGGATTTACCTCATCTTACTGACCTCTAACCATAGACAAATAAAAGGTGTGTGTGTGTGTGTTAATTTTATAGTTGTTTTTAATCTTGCATATTATAAAAAGTAAAAAGGTAAAGGACCCCTGGACGGATTTCAGGCCAAGGGAGCCGGCGTTTGTCCACAGACAGCTTTCTGGGTCATGTGGCTAGCATGACTAAACTGCTTCTGAAGCAACGGAACACCGTGAAGGAAACCAGAGCGCATCGATAATCCTTGCATGTAACAGCCACTGTTTCAATACAGCTTATTTCACATTATTTTCTCATGTATAATGAGACTATATATTATGTGCTTTTGACTTGCCATTTATATTATTTGTGGATTATGTTTCCTTTTTCATCAACTAAAACTTATTCACTGGTGTTCTGTTGATATATTGCAAAAAGACAACGCCGTAACAAGTGATTGATTGTTAAACCCCTCTGGGAATTGTAGCTCTGGAAGGGGAATAGGTGTCTCCTAATAAATCTCGGCACCCTTAAATTTCAGTCCCAGAATACTTTGGTGTAAGCTACAATAGTTTAAAAGACTGTAAATGTGGTCGTTGACTGTCTTACATTGTATCCTATCCGTCAGGTAGCAGATAAATGAAAGAGGACTTTGCCTGGATAGCATTTGAAATACAGGTTGGTCTGGTTGGAAAGAGGAAAGGTAGCCCCTAACCTAGCCATGCAGGATATATGTTGAAGAGGTACTATGGCTTCAGATACGGCCTTCTCAGTGTTTATGGCACTCTCTGGCAAAGGAGGTCACCTTGCCCCTTCTTACATAGACAGGCACCACTTCAGCTGTTGAATTCCAGATGCCACGATCCCTTAGTCCTATTTACTTACTTACTTACTTACTTACTTACTTACTTACCGTACTTTACTATTTCATTGATAGGCTCCCTTTCTCCCAAGGATCTGGAAAATTCTGTTTTGTGAACTGACCTCATAAATACACAGGGGATATCCAGTACATTCTCCAAACATAATACATATGTATGATATGGAAATTTATTGGTATCATGCATCCTACCTTTCTGGCTAGAGATCATCCCTTCTGGACATGGAGCACAATCATAGCAGCAAAATTTCTCTCCTTCCCTCTTTTTCCTATTGTAGCCAGGATAGCAGTGGTCATTGCACACAGAAACAGGCAGCACCTTTATGGGATAAACAATAAGAGTTTAAGTGCTCTTCACTTTCCACCTACTTCAAATATGTGAGTAGGTCCAGCTCCCTCCGCCCCACTCTTGCAAGCCATTTCCACCACCTCTATCTTGTTGGGGGGCTTAATGTATACAGCTAGGAGCTTTCACTAATGTATTTCTAGTTATATCAGCCATGTCAATGGATTTAGAAGCACACATGAATAGAGAAGGCTCCCTGCTGCACCAAGCCACCAAAATGTGTCATAGAAAGCCATTGAGAGCACAATGGACGATTGCAGCCAATAGACTTATTTCCACTACACCCATCAAATGATTCCATTCATGGGATTAAAAAACCGAAAAGGGTCCAAGTATCTTGAAGACTACTGTTCTGAAAATAGTGAGCTATTGAAATTGATGGCATTAGAGAGTCCAACCGTGATTTTAAAAGGGGAGGTGAGATGAATTTGGAAGGGAACTTGAGGGGCTTGTCATAGCCTGCCTCAAAGATGAGACAAACTCTACAAACTATCAAAAACAATATTTATATAGACATGAAAAAGATGTCTCATAACACATCAAAGTCTTTTTTGGCCAGGGATGATCCATCCCATTCTCGCTCACAGAATCAGGAATGGGGAAAGTATAAAATGTAGAGACGTTCTTTACCTATAGGACATCTTTATATGCAGAAGCAGCAGGAAAGCTACAGAATACTTTTTGAGCTAAAATAGTGTCAAGTGCCAACTTGATAATATGCAGGTCTGAACACTTGATATATTTTAACCTACTCTTTGAGTGTCTTGTTATTTTTTAAGATTTCTATTGCAAGGGTCATTGGTAGCAAACAATAAGAACTTGACATTCTGAACTTTGATCTTTTTATTGCATAGTTATAAAGAAGGAAAGGAGCTATGCATTTAACCAAATGTCTCACTTGATTGAATGTTGGGTGCCATGTAATTTCGTCTTCATTAATGGTTAA